GAAAGACCTCAGCTGGATGGGATTGTTTCCATCACAGCTGTACTGCACTGCTCTGCTTTGCTCTTTTCAACACTGTCGCCTCTCTTGCCAGCAGCCACAAAGCACTAGTTTATATCTCTGGGCGAGCTAGCCCGCCACAAAGGGCCCGTGGTCTCTGAGAGCATTCGGTCTATTAGGAGCACAGTGACACCGAGAGCTTCACGATCGGAACGCCATCGCGGCATTATTTTATCTACAGCGTGTGCATGCAAGCGTGCTTTTCTCTTTTGCTCGTGCTGCTGAAGTCGTGTCGATTGGAACAGCAGCCATCGACTGGGTGTATTATGTGAGAGTTTTCTGTTACGTAATGGGTGTGTTCTCTGCCCAGTGACAAACTTGTTCAATTATAGCAAGCTGACCTCCTCCCTCTTTCTGTCTTCCCCTTTATCGCCTCCTCTCTCTTGCTCTCTCTCTCCGCCAAGCATTTGTCATCCAGTCTGAATTAATCTGATCTCGGTATCGATTGGTATGCAGCCGGCGTCGCAGAATCAAGTCCTCTCATGACTTTGAATAAATTTCAGAGCATTTTTTCCGGCAACCTTACCTCCACTCTTCCTGTTACTTTTTAAAAGTATAAGCCCTGGCGTATTACACGTCTTTCTTACTGTCAACAACAACAACAAAAAAAAGACCTAAACCAACATGTGCCAGTCCATTTCACAGTGTTCTCATATTTCATTCTGTCTGCATCTCTCAGCCCTGAGCCCACTTCTTACTGCCGGTAGGAGTAAATATTTAAAAGCAGGTCACAAACAAGTCATTTCCTAGAACAGTTGGGCACCGCAGTTTTTAGCAAACCCAAACTCTGTCCACACATACACGGGTGTTCTTTTAAACATAGTGTTTTGGCTTTTCTCATCCAAACACAGTCTTAGGTCACTGACAGTGGAGCTTTTTGGAAAACTGCTTCCAGGGTGAAGATACTCAGAACGTCTGTTTGCAGTGTTGAGATGGAAAAAAAACAAGTTTTGGGATCGTAATGTGCAGTTTTACCCACGAAGCCATGTGACCAAAGCGGTGCCCGTGCTAACCTTGCTGACAGGGTTTGTGTTTATACGTAAATGTACAGTTACTCTTCCATCATACCGAGGAACAGAGGCGTCCGATTCTGTCTGCACATGTATAATTTCCTCCTTCTCGACGTTGGTAGCTCATTGAAAAGCTTTTTTTTTCAGGCTTCTATTGGCAGTTGTGGCATTACATCACTTGGCATTGTGTTTTTGCGTTTTAATGTGGACAGGCTACTTTGAGAACAATGAAGATGAACAAAGAAATACCTGTGTACATGTGGACAGAAGTAAACAATGCTTTTTGGGACCATTGCAGCTGCAGATTTGGGAGTAAAATAAACTACAGTGAATATTTACGGTGATGAATAACGTGTCACCCAGTACAGTGAGGACTCACTGGTGTGTTTTAATAATTTGTGCTGCAATTTATTGCTATAAAATGGGTTTTAGTGACAAAAATAACCACGAAATCAATCAAAAAATGCAGGTCAGAGTAAACCTCCACAGAGGGAATCGTATTATTATAATGTAGCCCGCTTTAGCAGGCACATGTATCTCATTTACTTTCCTCATTAGTCTTTTTCTGGCTTCAGAATCACCCAAATAAATAGAGAAAAGTCCATTTTCATAAACTTAATCCAATTTTTATGTGCATATCCATAAACCGAGCGGCTATCATCATTCATCTCTCAGTCTTCATCATGTGCGTGGATCAGATTCTGATGTCAGCTGGCCCAGCACACACAGAGGCTTTCCAATAGACTTAAGTGAATAATTCAGAAGCTTTGAATGCGATTCACTGGGGCAAAATGCATATCTAGCACCTCATTCAAGTCCGCTGCTACCCTTGTAATAGACTGCATTTGATGGCCCATTCGAATGATATATTCTAATTCCATTAAGGCATAGATGACTGTGTAACAGCAGTGCATCAGTCTGGTTGTTGACTGCAATCAGAAAAAACGCTTTTTTCTTTTTTCCGAGGCAACTGTCAAGGTTATAAACAGAGCGCATTCGGTCTGACTGTAATCTGCTGGTGCCAGTGCCTTCAACGGTAACCACACTGACAATCACAGATATACTGTACGTGCACACTCCCACACATGCACACACACAGCATCAGCTCACGGCGGGTTGAGCAGATGTGAGCAGAGCGACACGATTTGACCAGGACAACCTGTCCCGGCGTTCCACCAAATCTGTCTGAAAAACAAATACGCCCCAGTTTTTCCACAGCGAGTCACACAAACGTCGCTGTTTCCTAATAATAAAATCTCACGGGCTATCTGTTACCTTTCTGAGCATGTAAAGAGCGTTTCCCAGGCCTTCTCACACAGACACTGCCGAGGGGATGATAATTGAAGTGGATGCTCCCCTGTGGAGAAGTCATTATGATTGGTTCTGGCCTGATGAAGGGTGGGAGGGCCCCCGCTTTCTGCTCATCTCACTCTCAAGAGGTACAGAAAAACAACACTAGCATAGGCACAGAAGCACCCACAGCGAGAAATGAATTGAATTACGCTATCAGGGTGGTGCCATTTAAGCTTTTATAACCGTTTATCTGCTTTCATTGCAGTGTTGCTGTAACTCAACCCCTTTGTAATTTGTGGAGTCTTGAAACATAAACAGTCAACCCCCTCCCTCGGCTGCCTGGGATGGGGAGAGAGTCCGACTAAAGGGCATTTCCATAAACACACACTCCCACGCAGACGCACACATACACACAGGACCATAGGGATGAGTCAGACGGCCGTGGGCAGACACTGGCTGGGTTATCAGGGTAAATTAATGCATAACAATGCCAGGATTCTACAACTGAGAACCGCTGCTTCTTATTATTACAACTACGAACAAAGACTCAGCAGACGCACACACAGCCCAAATAAAACCCAGACAATCCAACTGCTTTGTTTCCCTCATTAGCATCTCTCGTACCCAGGCAGAGATTTCTCTTTGCTTTTTTTTTTTTCACCCTCTCCTCTTATCTGCAAATGTTCTTTTTTTGGAAATGTATTAATATCTGTTGGTTCACTTTGAGGGCACCTGGTTGTGCGTGTCAGAATCGCCCAGTATTACTCTTGATTTTTGTCTCTTTTTTTTCTGCCTTATTATGTACTCAGGTTTGTATTTCACTTTTTTTTTTTTCTTATTACCAAGTGCAAATCCCATTCGCCTTTATTTTTGTACGCTTGTTGACTGAAATGGGTCATTGTGCATCTAGCCCGAGGCATCAAGAATAGTAACATGTTGGGTTTTTTTTCTTCCTCTTTTTATTTATTTATTTTTCCTCTCCTGTCAAGACGAGGGCTTATCACCTCGGCGGATTTGAGGAAATGGAATTTTATAAGTTTTAAAAGGGGAGGAAAAAGAAAAGCGGGGTCTGCGGAGGAGAACAAACGAACACAAACCACACTTAAACTGTTCAATTAGAGGAGTGCGTTGTCATCTCCCTGTCAAGGCGTCAGACGAGATTCCTATGAAAGCGGCGAGGTTATTGTCTGCTAAATCAGCAGTGGCAGTTAATCTCTGTCATCACGCTCTGAATTAACATCAAGCACGCACATCACACGCAGCACCGGTGACACTAACAAACACAGAGAGAAATGAATCGCGCCTTTTTCAGCTCCTCCGGTATGTCATCCGTAAGACCTGGATGTTCGCAGACTAAGTTTATAAATAGCCCTCTGATATTTCTCATGTAGGCCACAGTCACTCACACACTGATGTGGGCCAGGGTATTGAATAAATAATGCTTACTGGGGATTACCACTGCAGATGATTTCCTCCTGTATGCTTGTCGCTCGGCTTTAACACAAAGTGTGAGTTTTTTGTGTGTGTGTCTGTGTGTGTGACATATGCAGTATCATGTGGCTAAAGCCAACGCGGGGTCTTCACTTAAAGAAATGATATGGGTGGGGGGGGGATTGGAAGAGGATTGTGTGGTTGCTCATTTTGACTGGTTGCTTTAATCTGATTTTATCGCTTATGATCCAGCATCAAATCACCTCATGAATAAAGAATGAAGAAGGTAACCAACCCAAACATTGCAGGTTATAATCCAGTGGTTAACCACACTCTTGCTCTAATGTGGTTGAACATACGTGCATACCCTACAACTTGCGTGCACGTGCGTCGATTCAATTTAGTTAATCAGCTGACGGTCGAGTATTGATGTGCACAAGCGCACACAGAGCTCGGCAGTGAGTGATGACGAGAATATGACAGTAAGTCACTAGGTGCGGCTGTAACTCATGAATCCAATAGCTTTAATGGACATGTAAAGACCACCGTGGTGGATACAGAGGACTGACTCAGCTGAATGGAGCTGCAGCTCTGTGCAAAGGGTCAGAGCCCTGCTGCTAGAAGTCCACCAGCTTTGTGGTGGAAGAAAAAAAAATCAGGCCAATTTCTATACTTTTCCCCCTATGCAGACGATGAACCAAGTGATAGTATAATCAATATCTGCATGCATGAGCAATGTGCATGCTTGACTGCAAGGATGTATGCTTGTGTGTGTGTGTCTGTATTCTCCCTTTGTGTCCTGGTCCAGACAGTGCAGGGAGAGAAAGCTGGATGTGGGATTTCAAAGATAATCTCCCTACCAGATGGCAAAACATCCCATATTCCTTTTGAGGTTCCACACGTGATCCCCTGTAAGGGCTGGGTATGTATGTGTGTGTGAGGGTGGTGGTGGTTTTATATATTTATATTCTCACACACAATTATTATTGGATCACGTGACACCAGTGCGTATGCTAATAAGAGCTGTAACGTCACATTAATCCAGTGACCTGGTTAAGCCCCCAACTGAAGGAAGTGAGTGTGAGAGGGAAGGGAAGGGAGGGAGGGAGAGCTGCCTGAGCTGGAGGAGCCGAGAGAGGAGAGACAAAGCGCACTCCCTCTCCCTCCCCGTGCTCTCTCACACGCTCATTCACCCTCATGAGCGGCAGAGCGGAGCGCAGCTGAGCGCAGCAGAATGGAAAGCCTTTCCAAAGACGCAGAGAGGGGCGCGTAGGACCGGCGTGGGGACCCCAACTCTCCTTCCATCATATATCCACGGACACGCGTACCGGCTCGCGTGAACCACGTTTGTCAGGCTGGACGGGACGGCGAGAACACCCACTTCACACTCGCGCACACATGCCCACACGCCCACGGAGACGCACACTCTGGAGCGCACCATGGTGGTCCAGGGCGCAGTGACGCCCGGGAGAACCCGCCGGCTGATGCTTAAACTGCCGGTGGGAACTCTGCGGAGGAACAGTGGAGAAAGAGTAAGCTTCGACTCAGTTTCACTTTTCTTCTTTGACTTTGTCTCTATCTATGTGTGTGTGTGTGTGTGGCCGTGTTTTGACGCGCCGTCGTGTGCGTAAGTGGGATTTAAAAAGAGGTTCTTGGCTAATCCAGGGAACCGTATTAGATTTGAGTTGGTGGAAGTGAAGAGCAAAGCTTTTAATCTCTACAGTGGACAATACTTCTCTGTGTTTTTCTTCCTGTCAGTCTGAGTCTGTCAATCTTTGCAGCCTGTCTCTGTCACCGCTAATGTATTCCACCGCCGTCCTCGGCTTCAAGGTTACAGGGAAGTCTCACTGTGGGAGAGCTGCCTTTGAGTGCAGCCTGTTTGCCTGTCACTGTCAGCGCAATTAAACCGACTTGAGACATGAGTTAGTTCCCTTTTTTTTTAACAACCAAAGCCGCACGGAAGCTTCATCTCCATCTCCATTTGCTGAATCCTGTCCTCCTCAGACTTTTACAAGCACAGCTGAAGTCAGTTCCCCTGCTGGACATCAGAAGCTCCAGTGTTTGTGTGTTTGCGTATCTGGTGGGTGTGGACTGTGGGCTGGAGATAATAGTTTCCAGCCAAGCTTAGACGTGGAATGTGTGTTGCAAAAGTTACCCCTTATGTCAGTTTTAAAGACAGGCTGTGACCTGCCAAGTGATTCACCTCTTCTGCTCTTCAGCAAAGTTGTTTACTGCGTGAGAATTCTGTGGAAGAAGAAGAAGTTTGCAGCTGTGAGGGTATCTTTGTGTTCCCCCACCCCATTGTATTCCCTCTGTGATGTATGTCAGAGCTCTTTCATGTTGTAAGTGCACTGGTATTAAGTGAATCAGACTTAAGTAGAGTGTGTGTTCAGGTGATGAGCGAGCCGGGCTTACGTCTCCTCCAAACCCCCCAAAATCATGAGGTGCTTATAGGATAACACGGAATTGAAATTTCCAGCTCCTTTTTTTGAAATCTCAGTCTTCCCACTTGATGTGACTTTGGTTTCATTAACTGAGTGACTCTCTCCTCTTTTGAGAATTCTCAGTCTGTTTGTAGTTCTTCCTTTTGACAGAACACGCAGACGGAGGATACAGTAGTTGCACACAAGCTCGCACACATACTGTACACATCATAAATTACACACTGCAGCTGCAATGCTGGATGAAAACAGCTTTCATTTTAATAAGGCCAGATATGCACACTCCTACCTACGCCACACTCCCTCCGACCCCCCACCTCCCACACTCCCAACACGCTGAGATACATAAAACGCAACCTGGTTCCTTTGCAGAGGATTACTTTTATAGTCGAGTTGACGTAAGAGTCCTCAGAGGAAGTGTCAGACTGTATATTTAGGTCTGATGCTTTCAGGTTCTGGCTGTTCAAAAAAAAAAAAAAAAAAAAGTCCAGGTTGTTTGTTGAGGCGGGTAAATGGATAAACTGTGATATGACTGAATCTGGCTTACCCGGCGCAGTACTATTTGATTGGAGGAAACTTAATATTCACTATCCTTTGGAGGGGAGTAATTGCTACTGGTTGATTGGCCAAACACACACAGGCAGACACACACGAACACACACATTCAAATCACCCTAATTAATCGAGAAAAGCAGATTTTCGCGCACATGAAAGCTTTCTCTCTCTCTCTCCCCCTCTGCTGATTGCATTCCATTTCTCTGCCTCCCATTTTTCTTTGCAACCAGCTGTGTGCAGACAGACTGAAGGGGGGGATTACTTGTTGTGATTTACATAAACTCACTCGCGTTATTGTAATGTTGTGCTGGAAAATTGACTCCATAAATGCGCTCTGGCTTGGTAGTAAACGCATCAGATTTTCAAAAAATACTTATCTATCAAACTGCACAGGAAGGAAACTGTTCAATAAATCGACAAAGCATTTAAAAGTAAACCATCAAAGTGTCTGACTCATTGCTCTCTTCTGAGATGGCAGGTGAACAAAGCTCTGATCTGTGCCGGTTTCTATGCCAGAGGCTCCATGAATGTCGACTGACTCTTGGGTTGGGACTTTTCATGTCCTCACTGAGCTACTGAAATACTTTCACTTCTATACGGCTGCAGCTTTGTCCTGCTCTGACTTGTCATGTTAGATAACTCATTGCATTCACATCTAATCTCCGCCTTATGCAACTGCATGAGCGGCAAACACGCGCACAAAAAATGTATTGACAAAATCTCTATCTACAAGCAGCTGACTGAGCAGAGTGGAAGGTTGGAGAGGGAAATTTATTGCTGCGAGCTTACATCCACTTAAAAGCATTTTGCACACTTGGAAGTCTAATTTTTCTTATCCTTCAGCATTTCCCGGTGAACATGCAGAGGTTATTCGGTGCGCATCCCTACTGGCTAAACGCTTTTCTCCGAACCATTAACATTCAGTAACTTATTTGAGAGATATTTTAAAGCTGGATTGCTACTTTTTTTTATACCTTGCAGATTGCAAACCCCATCTTTTCACGTGTCACTTATCTAATGCAGATGAATCGTCTCACGTCTGTGTCAGTACTTCCTGATGGATGTGGGTTTCTCGTCACAGTTAATTGAGTAATATCTACAGGGAGAACACAGCAATCTTTGTTCACGGTCAACAGCGATGACACATTCGAAGAAAACGTGCTTCGTTAACTGGGGAACAATGGAGGAGACAAATTTGATTACTCCTCTTCTTTGGCCGTGAATCATGCCTTATCTGTATCTTATTTCTACGTCTCGTTAAAAATCTTGTCTTCGTGACATGACGCGTCATGCCTCTCACCCTGTTTCTCTGCCTCTTTGCAGTTTTGAGAAAGCAAAACTGGCAGCACATGGAAGAAGTGTACCACCACCACCCCCCTCGAAAGAAAAGTGCTTATAGATAGTCCTTGCAAAACACCGAGTGTTTACAGCGTGATATGATGAGGATAAATTGCACAGTTGGTGTTGACGGTTTAAAACAGCTTCTTTGAGGGGATGTTTTCCGTTTAGATTACCTCTGCGAGCAGGCTGAATTAGGATTAGCTGCCTCCTTTGTTATCCTGCTATCATGTTAAGCTGCTGAACTCTTTTTTTCCTGTGAAATTAAGAACAAAAACAGAATAAACAAACAAAGAGAAGAGAGAGGGCGCGAGAAAGACTGGCAGGAGTGTTTACGTTTGTGTTTATGAGTTTTTTTTGTCGACATGGAGGGGGGAGCGTACCGAAAAAGAAAAAATCCGATTTTAGGAGACTGGATCGTTCTCCAAGGAAACATGTTGTTGTCAGGGGCACCACAGGGGAGCGAGGTGGGGGGGTTGGATCAGTGTCAGAGGAGGAGAAGTTCACACAGGCACACACATGTACACATCTCCAAACACGCATTCATGAGCAGAATGGGAATGCAAACAGACAATAGCATGACTGTAATTTACCACTATAGGGCTGGGAGCGAGAAGCCGCCAAGCAAGCGGTGAGGTAGGAATACTAATCAATGCCGGTTACCTTTAAACATCCCGTCTGCACCAATCACAGAGAAGGTCAGCGCTGGACTCCGGCATTCTGCGGGTCAGGTTGATGCTCGGCTTGTTTCTCATCAGACTGATCTAATTGTCTCGACATTAGCGTCGGGATTCATCGGAGCGGCTGCAAAGTTGATGAGAAAGTCCAATTGAGGGAGCAAAACCGACATAAGTTTCTGCTGAATTTGTTTACCATCCCTCTGTTGGCAAACATGAGTTGTGAGCTTTAATTTTTGCAGCTCTACTTTGCCTCGCTACATTATTGATTTCCAGGGATCTCAAAACGCCTCCAGGACTGTAGGTGAGAAAGCTGTGGTCAGTCAGCCCAATTAAGGAGACAAAGAGAAGGGGAAAGAGGGGGGGAAAAATGAAAGAGGGGAGAATAACTGGAGCTAAAGGCTCCTGAAGGCCCCTCTTGCACCACACCCTGTTCGGCATGAAAGGGGACCCCCCTTTTCTCCCCAAGGCAGCTCAGGAGGAAGAATGTTATTGAGCAAGTGGGGGAAAGGGGGGCACAGAGAGACTCCCACCGTCTCCTCCACCCCTGCCTCTTTCATCACTCTGTGCTATGATTTTTTTTTTTCCTCTCTTTTATTCCTCGTCCAAAATCAACCCGCAGACCTATAGACACATGGCACAGCTGCGTACAAGTTCAAAGTAAATCAGCGCTGAGAGCACGATCAAACAATGAAGAGATGATCGCCTATTGACTGTCAGTGAAGGCTGAAGGCAGTGAGCTGCTGATAATGTGTTTTCTCTATGGAGACAGTTTGCTAGCAGGGTAGCGATGGTGAGAGTGGACACTGTCCTCTGCCAAAACATCCCCAGTGGATGGATGGATGTGTGTTTGTGTGTTCCCCTCCTCTGCCACCTTCATGCAGAGCTCAGAATGATTTCTTCATTATCTCTGCTGCTCTGTTCTCAGAAATGACTGCATGGGATCCTCTCACGAAAAAGAGAGAGAGAAAGAAAAAGAGGAGTGAGTGAGTTGATGGGAAAGCGTCTGTTAAATTCCATCTCCCCCAAAACAGGATGTGGAGACCCCGAAATGTTCCTTAAATATCCCAGCACAATCTGTGCCCTTTGTTAGACAGAGATAACACGTCTCAATGAGAACGGAGGCAATGTCTGTGACTCACTCATATGAAGGGGTTTATTCATAGTTTGTGTGTGTGTGTGTGTGTGTGTGTGTGTGAGTGTGTGTGTGAATCCTGACAGAAAAAGAGGAATAAAAAGGAGGGTCGGGGAGGGCGGGAAAAAAATAATTTTATTAAAAAAGAGTAGTAAAGACTTTCTTGAAGATGCTGGAACCCGGGGGAGTGTGTGTGTGTGTGTGTGTGTGTGTGTGTGTGTGTGGGCGTGTTCGAGTGACAAAGAGAGACAGAGCGGGAAAGGGTTAGAAAGAGAGAGAGAGAGATGCAGTCTCTTGTTTTCCCGTGGGTGTACTGCAGTAACATAGTAATCCTCATTAATATTTATCTGGCAGGCAAAGTGGAGGGAATGATTAGCTTTAGAGAG